ACACACACACACACACAAGGGATTAGTTATTTTGAGGATTCCTTTGGAAAAAATGCAGTTGCACAAATGTGGTTTAACAGTTGTACTTTTGGAAATTTCCTTCAATAAATCAGGTTTAATCCTTAAGTACATTTCAAGGCTCTGAAGGAATTCCTTTAAGTCTGTTTTCAGTTCATCATCACAGACAACGGAAATAAGAAAATAACAAAAACACTTCAGTCAGCTGAGTCAGAGTGAACGGAGAGTGAAGTACCAAAGTGTTTACAGGCTTTATTTCTCTTTCCAAATTTGTTGCTTCTGACTGGACGATACTTTGACATCAGTTAATTTAATTAGACTGAATTTACCTAAATTTAATCTGTTGTTGACTGTGGGAAATCACTCAGTATGAGAGATGTTCTACTGTCAGAGAGAAGTGAAAGAGGAATACTACTTCTTTTCTTCACAAATGTCTCTTTGCTTCACAAAACTGTTATTGCTCTTACAGAAGGTGATATGTGTTGCAGATTAAAATGAACAAAATAGTTCATTTTATTGCATTTGAAGAAACATTAACTTAAACTCGGCCTGTGAAGGACTGAAACATGAAGAAATAAACAAACTTCAGGCAGTTAGAAGCCGGGATTTTGCAGTCCTTAAGAAATGAGATGTCATATTTTGTTTCAAAACAAAACAAAGATGATCAATATAAACAAAACCATGTTTATATTAAATATATGTTTCACATATACAGTAAAAAAAAGATCTATAAACCAATATCTATATACAATAGTATAGGTATATTAATATTATATAAAAGCAATAGTTTGGATCTCTTAACTCACTATTTAAAGAGATTTCTATAACACAACCATACGGACAATTAAATATATGCAGTAATATAATTGTATTCCTCAACCTGATCACATAAAACTGTATTTTGTATTAAAAGTCAATAAGCAGAACTCAGTGTCGCATGTGTTTTTCTACTGTACTCACCCAGCTCAGCAGATACCTCTCCTTGGGCTGCTCTTTGTTCTTGATTAAAAAATATTGCTTCCTGATCCTCCAGCCTGAAAAACAAACAGCATTTATTTAAATGTACTGCATTGTTTTTCCTTAACCCAACACTGTGTATCTTTTGAGAAAGGAGGAAACACATTCTTCCTCTTACTAATGGAAAGTTGAGTTCATGAGCAATAAAAAGCAACGTTGCTAAGTTCAACACACTCTCAGGTTCTGGTATGACCAGAAGCATGTTAGCTAATGTAAAATTTATATAGCCCAAAATCACAAATCACACTTTGTCTCAGGGGGTTTCACAATCTGTGAAACATTCAATACCCTCTGTCCTTAGACTGTCAGTTAAATATTGTTGACTGGACATTACTGAGTCAGTTTGTTGACTTAATTACATTTGTCCATTTGCTGTTACAATAGTTTAGCATTGTAGCTAAATGCTAAACAGTACTTTAGCATTGTCTCATAATGTTAACTTGTGCCACAACGGTCGCTGTTCAGGAAAAGTTACATTAGTCTTTCTTTAAAGGTCCATTTTAAAATTCACTCTAAACTTTATCTGTCAGGTTATTTCAGGTTCTATTTGCTTTATTTTTCCTTTTTCTGATACTTAACAAACCAAATCAGATCGTGTTGTTTCAATAAGGAGAAATGATTCAATCACTGTTTGGATGCTTTCTTATTATCTGATTATAAATCAATACTCAATGTCAGCTGTCACAGGTGAACACCTTCCCAGAGTGACTGAAACAGTCATCAATCATTCAAATGACTTTTCTCCTGAGTAGAGGACAGTCTGGTTTCTTTTTAATGATTTAATTCACCACAGAGGGAACTGAGAGCAAACTGTGTGTTTAAAAAGATTAATATAATGAGTGGAGCTGAAACAGTTAGGCTCCTAAAACAACATTTTCTATCACAGTAAACTGAATATGTTTAGGTCTGAACTGTTGGATGGACAAAACAAAGCCAAAGTAGAGATCAGCATGTCGACACGTAAACTTAAAAAGCAATTTTTAGTCTGGTTCAGATCCACCCTCAGTCTTACCGACGTCTCTGAGAGGCTCCTGGACCTCCCACTTCGGGTCCGACCTGAAGAACATGGAGACCTGCTGCAGGGCGATCTCTGAGACACAGACAGACAGAGTACACTTTAATGAATTTGAAACTTAAAAAAATAATATATTTCCTGTTGCAGAGAAGTCACAGATAATAGTGCTTTTAAACAATATGCAGTCACACTGTCTGCTGCTGTAAATCTCCCCTTGTTTCATCATGTAATATTTTTAAATACAGTAGAGAATGATTGTCAATGATTACTATAACAAGCTTAACAAGCTGATAGAATCAAGCTTTATTGGTCCATATGAGATAATCCAGCTCTGACGCTGATGTTGCTGAAGGGGTGTCGGGTATTATTCTGGGTTATCTGATAAAAATATAATTAGGTCCTCCATCATTTTCTCCATCAGAGTGGTTTCGGTGGCTGCTGAGCTGGAAAACTGACTGTCAACTAAAAAAACGCAACAAAGTAGTAAAGCAAAGTAACAAAAGTCTCTTGTATCTGACAGAATGAAGGTAAAATCTGCAATCTTTAACATACATATGAAGGTTTGACTTGTACGTGTTTATAAACAGCTTTCATGGTCAAAAACCTACTGCTCCTCATGTGAGGTCTCCTACACTGTCTCTTTGGAAACTACCACTGAAGACTGAACATAATCTCTCAGTGAGGATGAGGAACTCACCTGTGTAGTTGGCGGAGTAGTTGTTGGGGTCAAGGAACTTCTTCACAAACATGGAGCTGGAAAGCAGGGGATGCTGGGTAATTGTGTCTAGATAAGTCTGTAGTCCTCTCTGCCTCTCTGCTATGAACTCCCTGTCCATGTTTCCGATTAGCTTCTTGGGAGGAAGAGGGAGACTGATGCCGCACACCTAGAGAGAGAGAAAGAGGGAGAGAGAGAGACAGAGAGAGAGAGAGAACTGTTGATACATTTTCTGTGTGTTATAATGATGTACTCACCAAAAAAAGATGAAAGTGAGACAGACAGAGAGACAGACAGACTGACAGCAGGTTTCCGACAGTTCTGTTGCGTGTTGACTTAAGATCAGGGGCTGACGGGAGGTCGGGGGTCAGCAAGTGGGAGACCAGAAAAGGAAATGAGCAGGCGAAACCTCAGCAGAAAAACTGCAAACTTCCTGTTATCCAGGAATAATTCGACCTCATCATAAGACGAGTCACAACCAGGACAATCTGACATACGTACAAAGTCAGAGCCGCTCCAGTCCGGTACAATCCAGTTCCACCGATTGCAGATTCCAGTATGATCAATATGCCAATGTCAGGGGTTGTTCAGCTGTTTTTGATGGTATCTGGGGTGTAACTATATATCGTGGTACAGTATTTGGTAATACAAACATATGTACCATGGAGACTAAGAGTGCACACACGTCTATAGTGCAACCATGTTGGAGACAATGTGGGGCACTAAATGTAGACTATTGAAGTAATTATTATCAAAATTCTGGGCTATTATATACATATATATTATTATAAACATAAATCACGTATAGTATTATACTTTGGTAATATGACAGCTATAAAAAGGCCCTTATGAAGAGATGGTACAAAGATAAACACGGATGGCTGAATAATGATGATAATTGTAAATAAAACACATGATATGAAACTTTTAACTTGTAGGATAAGAGTTCAACAGGAGTCAAAGGAAATGGGAGAAATGGACAATGTTTACATGAAGCATTGAATGTGCCACAGGATTAAACAGCTTTTGTTGATGCAATCCAGATGTTTTCATGTTTGTTTTTTGTTGTTTTTTTTACCATCACCATCCCTAGAGCCACGTCACGAGCATGGCTGATAATTAATTCACAATATGAGATAAACTTCATCAGTAGAGCGGTGCAGAGTGAGCACACAGCAGCTTTATTCCAACACGAACAGCTAATCAGCACAGGAACAATCATCAAACTGCCCTCTCACACCAACAGCCGAGGCTTCTGGGAAATCGATGGCACAACAGCAAAGCCTCGAGCGTGTGGTAACGAACCGCCACTGAGCTTTTCCAAACAGGAAGGAGATTGGCTAAGACGAGGCTGGTGTGTGTGTGTGGCAGTCGGTGTTTGTGTGTGTAAATGTGGAAACTTACAGACTAAAAGTTACCAGGCTGCAGTTTCTGTATGTTTTTACCAACATACATTGTTTGAGGTAAGAATATTGTAAGAAGAGTTCGTATGAACGCTGAATATTCACATTGGGCCTCGTGCAGGAACATTTTTGTACTCTTATCTTAACTCTCCCTTTGCATAACTAACGTCCAGATAATACAATATGAGACTACACGGTGTGAGAACTTCATTCATTAAAGGGTACAGAAAAGTAAAAAGAAGAACTTTACGAGCTCGCAGACCGAAGTCCTGCTCTCGGACATCAACAAAGGAAAGTCAATGATTTTTACCAGCGTCAGCAGTGGAATTAAAGGACCTGTTAACGCAGTGTCACCTGAGGGTCGTAGAAGAAGTGTTGGCAATCAATAACCGCAACAGGAGGGGGTCAAAGGGAAGTCTTCGTCACAGAGAGACTAAAGAATACGTCCACAAGAGGTGATGTTGTGTTGTCAACAGAGGATGTTCCCCTGGACAGCGACACCTCAATGTGAAGAGAACTTTAACTCATCAATAGTCAGTTTACATTAATGACTATATGATAAATTTAGAACTATATTATAATTTAAACACAGTCAAACAGGATGAAGTGTAATTTAAATAGGAAACTTTCTTTAAATTAATGCAATGTACAATTCTTTAGTGAAAAACATCTGTTTGGATAACTAATTGCACACGACTCCTATAAGTGGTCTGAACCACTTGTACATTGTGTTTGTGCCTGAGAGAAAATTCAACATAAGAGAAAACTGGTGAATGATGCAAGTTCTCCGAACAACAAGCCACTTCAGAGAGAACATGTTTGAGTGGTTCTTGCATGAAGTTCAATGTTTTGACTAATCTTTTTCTATCTCTTTCTATCTTTTTCTATCTTTAATATTAGACCATGGATGCTGGGTACAAAAACTCTTTTCTGTATCAAACAAGCTTTAAAAAAAAAGTGGCTGTGAAAAGTTCGTAGTTTCCTCCGTCAACAGCAGAACAGCAGCTTGAACTCATGTCAGTCACAAAGTCCCAGAACATCCACAGAAACTCCTCAAAGCTCGACTGAAGCACAACAAACGTCTCTTCTGTCCATCTGCATGTCTTAAAACACTCGGTTGATGTGTGACTGAATATGAAACTCACCATCAGGCTGCTGTTCAGAACATCAAAGTCGCTGTAACGCCGGATCACCTGCAACACACAAACACACCACTCAGATACTGACAGAGCGGCTGTGATTGGTCCATTCATCTCCCATCACATCCTTACTGGTCTAATGATCTGGACCCGGACATTTTAATCCGTCAGTATTTCTGCCCAACAAACAAACTGACTGTCATGTTTTCTCCTCAGGTGACACCTGAAGTTGTGTTTGGTTTATTTACCTGCCAGCTGTTCTCTGAAGAGACGCCCCTCTGGACTCGGACGATGTACTCCTGGGAGAGACAAGAGGCGACAAAACCATAAAAACAATGTATTTGCTACTTATTCAAATAAATTAAATGTATATTAATAATAAATATAAATGGTTAAAACAATGAGACACAGCCGGAAAAAAAATCTGTTAAATAAGGACGGAAGTAAAAAGTCAAAATAAGAAAAAGCTGTATTGTTATGACAAATAAAGGGAAACGTGTCATTATGATACAGTAAGAGGAAATGAGTTCTTTTAGAATTATATATTTTCAATTTATTCTAAAAATGTAATAATTTTATGCAACTAAGTTTAGTTTTATGAGCCAAGACTAGATAAGACTAGAGAGTACTGCTGAGTAAGCTTATGATTTTATTTTGAAAATAATCCTGGCATGAAAATAAAAAATGTAGTAGTTTTATGAGAAGAGTCATAGCATTAGAATCAGATTTTATATTATAAGTCATGTTATTATGACTTAAATAAGTCACAATATTAAAAGTCATAGGTTTAAAAACATTATTACATTAACATTATGCATAGATTATGAGATTAAGTTGTAATTTTACTTGAACTAACTCATCATATTAGTTAAAAACACAGACATTTTCTTGTTCTAAAAACAACCTCTTACTCAAAATACTGTGACTCTTCCTAAAATTAAAGACAGTAAAGTCCTGAAGGTTGGTGGATCTGAGCCTAAATCCAAAGGGTTTAGGTTTCGTGTGTGTTCACTTTCGGTTTCATTTACAAATAAGCGGCTCAGATAACAGCAGAGGATCAGTCTGATCACGTCACCATGGTTACAGATCAACGCAAATGAAGCTGCTGAATAAAAAGGTTTGAAGTGACGGGACAAAATAATGAAAAACAAGAATATTTAACTGGTGTAAACACGAAGTTTTGCCTTTGATCTACACTCCCTATCACAGCCTCTGCGTTTCGGCTGCCCGGCGTTGGGGGCCTGTAATCCTTCCATCATCCCATTCCTCGCGCGGCATCGATCCTCCATCCATTCATTCATTCATTCATTCCTGTGTGCTGATCAGCTTCACAAAACAAGTCCTGACATCACTTCACTGGAGGATTTATATCATCGGTCTTTAAAAATCTTCAAGACTTCAGCTTCCTTTAGGTTTTCCCAGTGCAGCAGTGTGTGCTGTACATTTATACACAATCATCACACAGTTCCTGTCTCTTAAAAGCATCTTAAAATAAGATGGTGTTCACGGATATCAGTGAGATATAATTTATAAGATAAATTAGATAAGATGCACTTTTATTAATCTGAAATTAAAATTGTTTTTTTCCACCTGAGATATTGGAGAAATAATAACCTCCATGTTTCCAGCAGTGAGAGGCCGTTCAGTGTCTCAGAGAGAAATCGACTGAGCTACAACAAGGCACAAACTCTTATCTTTGTAGATTTCTTTCTTTGTTTCATTGCCACAAAAGAGCGAATAAATGAGGACAAAAAAAAACCCGATATGGTATTCTGTATCTGCATCGGCTATCAGCCAAACTGTTATTTCAAACATCGTGTTGGTATCAGCCCAGAGTTTCCCAATCGGTGCCTCCTTCGTCTAAGAGCAGGAATATCAAACAGCAGCAGTACGAACTTTATTAACCAGAGTGAATGATCCACGTTAGATCCAGTTTTCTTATTTAGTGTTTCTGCCACTCAGGAACAACAAGCTGCAGACTTTAGTGCCACGTAATCCCTGACCTCAAGTTACTTAACATAGAAATGATCCTAATGAGTTCCACACAGTGAGCTATACAGATTTAAAGAGCACTGATATCAGCTGGTACTCTGAGCTGAAGTGGAAACACGGATCAATACATCCTTATTAAAGTAATGAGAGTCTTTATAGACGAATGAACAAACTGCTGCTGGAGGTTTTTTAGTCGTTTGTGTTACTAGAAATGTAAAACGTCGGTGTGTCAGTGGAACATGTAAGTTACTCTACATCACCTGTGGAGTCTGTTAGACTTTATTTCCTTCTAGTCAATGACTTGTAATTATTGACGAGCAGGAAGTGACTAGAAGCTCTGAACAGATGTTATAGTAAGCACAGGCCTCACACTATCAGCTGATTACATGTTGAGAAATTCTGGAAAGTCATCTGATTCTGCATCCAGCAAATCTGCATTTATTTTGTTCTGATTAACAGCAAAAGCTGCTGTTCTGGTTTATTTTGGACTAATGGAAGCAAAAAAAAAACTCTTATAAATATAATTATTATTATTTATATCCTTCACTGTGAATCTCTCCTGTGATATTATCATCCTGTTTTATAATTGCAACCACATCCAACAATGCTCGGATGCCTGACATTCTGGCTCAGCTGATCCCAGCCGGACTGTCAACAACAAACCCACCGACCCTGCGCCCATTATCGGACGCCCTGCTTTATTTCTTCCTGTGACATAAACCTCTTTAATGTCAGTGCAGCAGGTGTGTAATCTCCGGTTTCTGTGCGTTGGTACACAGCCATTTTCGTTCAAGAAGAGCTTATGCTTTCCATTATAAGGCAGTAACGCTGAAAACAAGGCTTGTCCCCAGCACCTCTTGAGCTTTACTGTTTGGAGAGACGCCACGCCAGACTCCGTTAGAAAATCCTATTATTTATTGTTTCCGTGGATTTCGAAACACGCGTATTACCGGATACAAGACTCATACAAACCCCGCACATGTTAATCCACTCAATCTTCTAATCGGCATCGATAACAAACAGGATGCAGCTATTGATCAACCAAATCTCATCATTTCTACCCGGCTCATGCTCCTAAAACGACGTTAGCAGAGAAGCTGTTAATAGGGGCAAATACTAAAAATACGTATTTTATTATAGATATTTGGTGGATGAGATGTATGCCGAATGTTATAATAGATCATTAAACACTCAAAACAGTCGTACATCCTGCTTTAGATGGCGTATTAGTTTGTTTTTGTTGAAATAAACCAATAAAACGGACCATTTACAAATGGACTTTCGTTGTAATGGTCTAACGTTAGACCACCGACGCTTTTACGGGCTTTTAGGGGCTTTTGCGGGTCTAGTTTCGGCTCCCTGGCTCTTCAACCAGCCGGCATCGATGCTCCACAACAAACAAATCCCTTTTATTATATCTGCAGTTTGCTGAGAGCAGAAAAAAAAAAAAAAAAGCTTCCAGGAAATTGCTTAATCAGTGACAGCGCTTCAGATCCAGGGTCAGCTGCTTACAATGCAACTCTAATGTTAAAAAGAGACAGATAGAGAGATAGAAAGAGAGAGAGAGAGAGAAA